GCTGGTGCTGGTGCTGGTGCTGGTGGTGGTGGCGGTGGCGGTGGCGGTGGCGGTGGTGGCGGTGGTGGTGGTGGTGGTGGCCGATCCACTTGCAAATGTGCCTGTAGCGTGCCATAGCGGATATTCTCGACACCACCTACGGTCTACAGTCGTTCATCTTCCGACCAAAAGCCATGGTCTTCAAGCGCCCCAAAGCCAAAAAAATTGGAGAACAGAGACCACGTTGTAGGACGCTGAGTGTGACAGAGAACTAGCTAAGCTGACCAAAGAAGACTTTTTCGGAACAAGGTGTGTGCACTATACTGCAGTTCGTGATAGCTTCATGCGAGCGGCCGTCTGCAGACTATATCATCCAGCAGAACGACATCATGCCTGACACTGCATATGACGTTTTCTGCGTAGACTGGCGCCTTCAGCTGCATTTTGTGGGATTTGTTTGGACCCCCAACTGCCTACTCAGCTGGAGAGTGAAGGCACTTCCTCTTCGGGGGCTTGTGTCGGGAAACTGATGCCTGGATCTGCGAACCTTGAACCCTCAACTACTCGTACTTTAAGAAACAATGCATGCCTGCCAAACGAGGAGCCACAAGAAGGCCTTTGCATAGGACCCAAGGTATATGGGCTTATGCTTACACAGACAGATTCTTGGGCGTTCGATGTTGACCAATGGTTGCGGGGGATCTTGACAACAAGGAACCCGCCGTCCCCAGTTCTGAACCGTCCCTGCGGAAGGGGGATTTAAAATTTACTGCAGGTGACCAAGCCCCCAGGCCCAAAGCAGAACAACCGGAAACCAGGCTCCCAGAACACGATTCCGTTGACTAGTGTCGCTGAAATCATGTCGAATCCGATCGTTGAGTCATGCTGGTGTGCTGCTTGTCAGGAGGATCTTGTGTTCCTGCACCTGCGCTCAATCCGAACAGCCTGAGGCCCTGAACCTGGAGTTCCCGCAAGTTTAGCACCGAAGCCAGGTACAGCAGCCAGTCCAAGAAGGATTTCGAAATCATCCCGGCGTGCACCGGAACTTCCGGGTGCGGCCTTGTGCCTTGGCGGGGTGTCCAGCAAGACATCGGAGGAACACTATGGTACAGACACATACAAAAGTAATTAGCATGCCAAAAGCCTTCAAGAGTCTGTGCCGCTGCGAAGCTAGGTTATTGAGACCCATTCCGGATCTGGTGGAAGAATGCACCAAGTCTTCGGCTTGGAGGACGCGCAAGAGTCACGTGTACTACTTTGCTGCCCAAGGTATGTGTTAAAAAAGAGGACAAGTTGTCAGAAAACCTGCTCCCAACTTGTTTCCCCTGCCATCTCGTGTGCTGCTTCTTCAACTAGCAAAAGTGCTGCTTGCGGCTGTGCCGGGCCTACCTCTCATCGCACAAATCGAGTGAGGTGTCGCAAGCCAGCGTGTCCAACTTGGCATGAAAGGCTTGCCCAGATTCGGGCCAATCCCTAACACAGCAGTGCCGCAGTGCCTCAGCAGAAGGACTTCTTTTGCGTGCTTCTGCTCCTAGCGCCACTTGGTCGCATGATGCCTTAAAGGGACCAGTAAGCACGAAACCACTACGAAACTCCACGGGCAGCCAAGATGTGAGAAGGCAGGCATGTCTCAACGTTCGCAAGCTCCAAATGCCGATAGGAAGCACAACGGAAACCATCTCGATGTACGCCTCACAAACAAGTGGATGAGAACAACACTGCCCGGCCACAGTCCGGACTCCTTGCAACTAGTATCATGAATACTCGTCATGGGAGTATCACGAAAGCTTGTCTTGATCGATGTGTCCGTGTGTGCACGTTGTGCTCATGTTTTATAGTCTTCTCTCGGGCACGTGGGGCCTTATGTCAAAGCCACTTAAAACCCGAAAGTCCTCAAGCGATCAGTGCCCCACCTGAAGGTACGTTGGCTGGAGCTATGTTTTCCAAATCTGCCAGGTGCCGGGGCTTTTGACGCATCAACGGAAGGCTTTCCATGTTTGAGGGTTCTTGGCTTTGGGGTTTCGCCTTTGGGGGCTTGAGGATTAGGGCTTTGAGGGTTTCTGTGTAGGGTTTCAGAAATTTCAGGGAGCCTGTGGTCTGACCAATCGTCTCGAGCGTTTCCATTCCCGCAAATCTGAGTGCTTTTTCCCGGAATTTCGCGATGCTTGCCGCTGTCAAGCATCTCAGGTACTGCATGAAACTGGTGCAGCTGTCTTGGTAGGGCTGCTGCTTGTTGGCATGTTCTAAGCGCTAAACAGGCATTGGCTTCATTGGCATTGGCTCGAATGTTGGCTGGTGGGGCAAGTTTATGGTCCTAATAATAGTAGGAGGTTTTGATCGGGCTTGATGTTTTCATACAGCGTTTGCTCACACGGACGAGCTTCTTTGTACCTGTAAAATCTCTTATTGTGGTGCCACATTTCGCAGCGAAGTCCGGACCACCACAACCTACACAAGCGTTTGTTGGAGCCAGACATTCCCCAAACCGCAAAGCGGCCAGATCCTAAGAGCCCTGTACTGTAGAGGAAAAAAGCAGCCCTTTGGGACTTAACATTTGGCATGCTCATGAATCATGTCGTTTGATGCTTTCCTCGCACATTCCTTACCACACATTACACATCAAGCGGAGAAGCACATGTTATACGTGCTGCGCGCACGCACGCGCACACAGACACTCGCACACACGGCATTCTCAAAAACCGTGTGGCAGAGCCGAGGATTGCCGGCTACATCATGAAGGCCTGCTCGGGCCGAACAGCTACTTTTAGCCCCTCGGACAGAGCCGACAATAGTTCAATAGTGATAGCGGGTTGCAAGGCCAAGATGTAGAGAGTCTAGAGTCGAAAAGGTTCTTGAATCTTTCTTGAACTATCAAAGTAGCAAGGGAACTTCGCCATCCTGGGAGTATAGTAAACACTGGGGTTATGTCCCCTATGCTTTCAAGGACTGGATCAGGAGGCCATTGTTTACATAGGCCCTAAACCTGAACCCGGGCTCGGGCTGAGTTCCTGAGGGTTCGAAGGCTTGTTTATGGTGCTTAGGCTAGAGTTCATGAATGGCTATAGGGTGCCATAGGTGGGTTGTTGAGGTACTTGCCCATGGGCATGAGATTGCTGAAATTTATTATTCTCTGCCAGTGTTGAGTGCCAAACCCTGGGTTTTGTCCTCAGCTTACATGGAGCTATGACTGACTCCTTGAGGCTACGACATGTTCAGCTACATGCTGCTTCCGATGGTCATCTTCGCTGCGGGTTTCAACCTTGACAAGCAGAAGTTCTTCCGAGCTTCGGTGCAGGGAGACATTGAGTAGAAGGGCGAGGATGTTACCTAGTAGGAAGTTCAGTTCAGGGCATGCAACGGCTAGGTCAGGCTGCGCCATATCTTTGCTAATTCTGTATTTATGTATGTGTGTACGTACGTGTGTAAGTATGTATGTATGTAAGTATGTATGTAGGCTTGTGTATGCATATGCCGATATGTATATACATACGTGGAAGTGTGTGTCTATATATATATATATACACACACATACACACATGTATACTACTTATTGCACATGCAAATGAACATCGACTTATATGTCAATTATCTTGTTCCATGTCCAAGCATTTGTATGTACACCTGGAGACACAGCGTGCGAACTTACGGCACATGTTTGTATATCCAGGCCTTTCTGTGTGTATTTAAGTTTTATATATATGTATTCATATTTGTAGAGTTATAAGATACGTGCCTTTATATACACATGTAGAACTGTCTAGCATCTGCAAACCTATACGTATACATGCGTCTCTCTCTGTCTCTGCTTGTCAGAAGTCATAGGAGAGGCCTGAGCTGAGAACTCGAAGATTAAAACTCCCTGACGCGGCTACAGGGGAAGCCCATGGACGGCCGCAGAGTCGGCTGAGAGTGTCAGAGTTTTCGGCTTTGAGGGTTTTCAAGTTTCCAACAATGTGGCTTAACGCTTGTACTGTAACTGGGGCTCACGATGTAGAGCCCTGGGCGCGAAGAGACTAGCCAGTTCTGGAGGGATGTTGATTGCAGGATGGGTCGCAGGCCCAGACGGGATCGAAGCACCCTTAAACTCGAAGCCTCACCACAAGCCTCGCCTGCATTGTCCGAGTGTGAGAGCCGAAACTCGAACCCTACATCACAGGGCTCACAAGCCGAGAAGAAGCCGCCAAAAGTGGACCCCAGGATTCGGCGGCTACATCTTTGCACTGGGAATCACCGGCACAGCCGCCAGGCTGCCATAGGGCCCGAAGGACGCTTCAGACGCATTGGCACCACATCCTTTAACCCTGGAGCCCACCAGCCATCGGAGTTGGAAGTCGTCTCGTTGTGGGTCCTGTGCTCAGCTGTTGGGTTTGGGCATGATGGTGCAGGGTCTGGGTCTCAGTGCTCGGGTCGTGAGCTTAGCATGGCTTAGCATGCTGCAATGCATGTGTGCTGCTGAGCAACAAACCGGTTTTGAAGCGTCATGAAAAGGTTGCGCTTGTTTACAGGAGTTGTGGCATCTCCCGATGAATTTCCCTTCGTTGTCGTGCCAGGTTTCTTTGTGGACCATGGAAATCTCATATTTAATATGGAACCGTTCCGTCAACAACGGGGGCCCTTGTAAAGCCACCTTTCCAGTCAGTGCCAGGCTCCACATTCCCGCGATTTGATGCCGGGAAGCTCACCTCGCCGAGGTTTGCATTTTCCTGCTGATTTACTTCGGCTCCGTGATCTTCACCATACGCCCTGCTTCTCGACTGCTTTGGCCGACGGGGTAGGATGGAGTTTGCATCTTGGTCAGGCCTTGGGCGAAAGGTTTGGGTTTAAGCACCGGAACACGATGCATCTCTTTCACTGCGAGACTCCAACATTGTTTGAATGCCATCTCAACGACTGAGACCTTTCACGCTTTGGAGCCCGCAGGTCTTCGACCTTGCGAGCAGGCCTCCCTGAACATCCAGAACCTAAAATGCCTCACATAAAGACAAGCTTTCCCAAGACTTTGAAAACTCGACCCGGCTTTGTCTCACTGATATTGGTGTCGACTGGTCTCATGCCCGAACTATAAGACGCTCACAGGCAGCGCATGGCCTCTTAGAGCCCTACAGAGCTTCCAGACCTGCGGCTGCCTTTCGGTGCCCGCATACCCCCAAACTTTCAGGTGAATGGTGATCAAAATTAGGGTCCCTTTTTGGGTCCTTATTATAATACGGCACCTATTATTTAGGGTACCCCAAAAGGGACCCTAATTTCGACAACCACCCAGGTGAATGGTGATCCGTTTGTGATTCCGGCACAGAGCCTCGGCTGACACACGCGGCAAGCTTTGGGAATTTCGCTTACCGAGCTTGAATGCGGCTGGTTGAGGATGGAAAAGCCTCTGGGGATTGCAGAAGTTGTAGAGTTATGGCTATGAAATCAGGTATCACTGGCCCAGCCAGTAATAAAATCAAAACAGGCAAGGCTGCTCTGATGAACTTAGCGGCAGGCGCGGTAAAGAGAGACAATCCTGACAATAAAAGCTGAAGCTCTGAAACTCGAAAGTTCAAAGCTTGAAGCCGAAACCGAAGGCGTCTGGAAATTTGGCAAAAACCTTGCCGTGTTGGCCCTCAACTCCAAGAAAGGCTGGCGGCACTCCAGGGCCAACGTAACAGCCTCCAAAAAAAGCTCCATGCAAAACATTCGGATCCTAAGGAATCGCCTTATTCTCGCTTCGGTCCTGGCATCGACAGAGACTTGCCGGGGAAAATCGTGACTTAGGTATAGTATAGGGTTTAGAGTTTAGGTCCCCCAGAGGTGTCAGTTCGCATGCTCTCCTTGCTGTAGGTTAGGAGGGTGTGTGTGTGTGTGTGTGTGGCTAGACCGGGCTGCTGGACAACGAGACCTGTTGCAAAAAAAGAAAGAGTTTAGGTCCCGGCTTTCCCATTCCCCAAGCTGCCCTCGGAGGATCAGCCCGGGGGCCTGCAGGGCTTCAGGCCAACCTTTGAAGGTTTCAGGTTCAGGACATACGGGGTTTGTGTCGAGCCCCGAACTGTATGGCCCTTCCTTGAGTTAATGTCGCATGGCTCCTTCAGTCACGAGTGGGTGGCTGGATCTAGGCGAAAGACGCCTGCTGACAGAAAGGCTAGTGGATAGTTACACAGTTACATATATATATATATATATATATTATATATATATATATATATGACCACATGTACCCCGAGGACCCGAAACCCCAAATTGAAGCTTAAGACCCACATAATAAAGCGCTTACTAAGCCTCTAAACCAACCCTGCGTCGGAGGATACCGTGGCACCGATGGCCTTTGTTTCGGCCACGGACTTTCCTCAACTGCACCTTGATCACAAGCCATGGCTCAGCTGCTGATTTCTTTCTCTAAAGAAGATCACTTAAGCTAACAACAGCACTGAGTCGCGAGGGCTTTAGCGCTCGAGGTTTACGGTCACTTTCATCGTTTGAGAAATTGGTTCAAAGGCATAGGAAACGAGGCATGAAAGTCTGTCTAAGTGTGAGTGCTGGTAGCAGAAAGCCTGATCCGCGAAGATCCTGAGCCCTGAACCCTAAATTGTGAGAGTTTGGAGATGCCTAAAGTCCCCCATCGTTCTTTTTGCGAGAGGGAGCCGCTCAGAGGTGCCAGTTGAGTTACAAAGTAGGGCACATAGCTTGCACACACGAGTGTGCTCGTGTTGTCTGCGTGCATCTGTCCATAACGAGCGCACGTACGCATGTATATGTGTATGCATGTATGCGTGTATGCATGTATGCATGTATGCATGTATGTATGTATGCATGTATGTATGTAAGTTCGTATGTATCTGTGTTTGTGCATACATGCATGTAATAGTGCACGCGTGTGTGTGTGTGTAAGTAAGTAAGTAAGTAAGTAAGTAAGTAAGTAAGTAAGTAAGTAAGTGAGTAAGTAAGTGAGTAAGTAAGTGAGTAAGTAAGTGAGTAAGTAAGTATGTATGTATGTATGTATGTATGTATGTACGCATGTCTGTATGTATGTATGTATGTATGTATCTATGTAAGTGAGTAAGTATGTGAGTATGCATACATGCATGTATGCGCGTATGTTTTCGCATACACACATATGTATATATATATATATAATATGATATGTACATATGCATTGGTGTGTATATGTTTTTTCTGTGATCCGTGTGGCTGTATATATGTACGCATGCACCTTTGCATGTATGTATGTATGTATGTATGTATGTACGTACGTATGTATGTATGTATGTATGTATGTATGTAGGTTGGTATGTACTTCAATGACACCGTTTGCATGTGTGTGCATCTCGCATACACATATAAGTAGTTACTATGTACACAGGAGCTTTTGGAGTTGCTGTGCAGGAGGCAAACGTTGAGAAAACCTGCGTGAATCATACAAACAAGGTACGCGGTCATCTTTGGAGAAGGCGTGCTCAACGATGTCGTGTCCATTCTGACACTTTTCTGCAAAGACAGAAATGTCTATGACTTCGAGCTGAGAGTTTAGAATGGCTGCGTTGTGGGTTTCCCAGGATCCGTGTGCTCGGGATCCATTAGGTCCTTAGGTTCGAGCAATCACAATGACCTGGCGCTCTACGGTCGTTCAGACGAACGAAATCAAAGTGAGGCTCAGCACTTCAGTGGAGGATGCAACATCAATGCCTCCACTGCTGCTTGACCTGCATCAGCTGCTTAAGCTGTTCAATGTCCTCGATTTTGGTCATGATATGACCTCAACAGTTTCTCGCCTCTCCGAAGGTAATGTGCCCACGATTACGGTACTGTTGTCAATATCACTACATGCATGTCTGTGTTTGCGCATTGGGATGTGATGTTCGTATCTCTTTTCCGGTTTCCTATTGCAGCTGATGTTCATTTCGTTGCTATCTCCGTCGGTGAAAGAGCTCCTGCCCAAAGTTCGTCTCCGTGCCGGCTTTGCAGCTCCTCGACCTCGACAGGAGGCTCATCAACACCCTCCACACTAGTAGTGCTAAAGTCCCAAACCTCCTGATCGACCCGATGCCTATGCAAGGCCAACCTGCAAAAAGCTTCGATGTGGCCCTCCGAACTCGTGTAACTAGTGTTTATGCTTGTTACATGTCATTCAGTGCAGTGCAGCTATGACGACTTGCGCGCATGCATGTTTTTGTGCAGTGCTATTGTGAAGACTATATATCGTTTTGTGCTGTGCCAGGGTAACATCCAAGGTCC